CAAACTTTTACCCTTATGCAAACTGCTTGCAACATTTTATTTTCCTGCCCGTCCTTCTTGGCGTGATTAATAAAGTGATGCTTTCATCTACACCTCAGGGTGAATGTTTAATTAAAACTAGGGGGTATTCATTTTCAGACAGGAGAATGTGTAACAAGTTGCATCACTTGCCTTTGGAGAGGCTTCAACAAAGCAATTTTACTTGCAATCCCTATAATCTAGCACCAATAATATGAAGTTGGTCAAAATAGCATATATAATTATAATTTGCTTTTTCAAAAATCTGCAATAATAAAAATGCTGCATCAGTTCTACAATCTTCTGTTTTAGGGAGCTCTAGCAGCTAAAATGTGGCTAATCAGACATTCCCGCTTCCAGTACAAGTATACAAAAATCATTCCTGATTCAAAGATAACAAACTTGGGCAACAATAAAACAAATTCTTGGACTGAAAGAATTTACTGTCGGAACCAATAGCAGTGGTCTTTTTATCTACTTTAAAAATTAATATTCATCTGGGTGATTGTTAGTGTTCCTTTGTGCCTTTTTGGTATTTATAATTTGCCCTTAATTTTCTGATTTTTCTGATAATTTTCCTTAAAATGCATGAACAGATCTAGTTTTTGAATGTCTATTGAAAGCAAATTTTTAAACCTTCATCACTTCCTCCTCACGTTTTCATTCTACCATTACATATCTCTCATTCTAAGACATCCTGGATAAAAAGATTTCACAACCCACCCATCCTAGCCAGGAATGCCTCAGAACATATGAAACCTTCTGTGAAGAATCAAAGAGCTGGATGAGGCAATCAACTTTATTTAGAAAACTGATGTTACCCTTTTAACAGCTCTAGGGGACTTAGAAAAATACAACCCCCAAAAAAGACCATATACCCACTCCTTGCTACTTCCTTGGTTAACAACCATTTCCAAATACAATGGTAATAAACAATTCATTTTCCAACCAATGCACCCATTTATGCCTGAATTTCATGTGCTTAAAACACTAGAGTGAGAGAGTAACTTTGGCATAGCTGTACAAGAGAATTTTATCTAAATGAGACAGCAGTCTCTTTCTCTCCTCCTCTTTGTCATGTGTTCATTTACCAAACATTTGGTTAAGTAACCTTGTCATTGAAATGGAATGGGTCACTAAATGAAGAGCTGTGCTTAGAAAAATGAAGAACATAAAGCCTTATATATAACATAATTGTATAATGTTAAAACAATTTAAAAAGATTTTGGCAATACTATAATTAATAAAATGGGAGGAACGACATTGTTTGCAATGGTTAGTTCTTATTCTCACAAACCATACATTGTTATTCGCTTGTTGAAGCAAAATTTCTAGCTACGAATTTCAAACCCAACCTTCTCCCTCCACTATTTGGTGGGAAGCCAGTGATATCAGGCACTCATTCTCCTTAAGCCCAATCTACCTTACATGATTGTTGTGGAAAGGAAGCTTTATGTTTGCTCCCTTGAGGTCCTCTCTGTAACTATAATGGTATGTGGCAATGACCTTGGGACACAGGTGGAAGAACCACAGACTAGACATCAGTTAGAGAAGAGGCAGCTGAGCCTGCAGAAGGAAAGTGGGTGTGGTAAACATCTCAGACAAAAACCTTTCCTAGTTTCTTGAACTGTAAAGGTGACAGAAGGAGGAGATATACTTTCAGACTCACAAGATTTTGTTAATGGAACTTTACAATAAAGTTAGAGCTAGCTTTTCTGGGCGTGCTTCTTGTCTGGACTATCTCACAAGGCTGATAGGAACTCTTTAAAACAACTGCCATGGTGAATCCTGGGAAAAGGCATGGTTATATTAAAGAATGGCACACAAGAGTTTAATTCTGCCACTATGTGCATTCCAAGAAATCTATTGGGAATCAAATCCAAGCAGTGCTTCAGAGCCCTACTATTGACTTGTTCTTACTTAATAACCAATTCTCTAATTCCACAATCATTTTCAGTCAATCTGTTTTCTGCTTCTCAAATGAAAAAAATCACATTTGTCTCTTCTTACATTTCATATTGCTGTTTTCAGCACCTTTCTTTAACCAGATGAGTTCAGAAGACATGACATTTTTCTCAAAGTGAAAAAAAAAATATATCCTCATGCTGTCCCACTTTCATCCCTGTCACACCTGCATAAGATGTCACAATGCAAGTAAACAAAGGAGTTTGTGCCGCAACAGTGCGACACCACTTTTATCTTCTGCCCCTCCTTGAATTCCTTGAAGATACCTCCCCCTAAAATCAATCAAGATCTCACTCAAAATACATTCCTGTTCCTTATGCTCTTTCTGCAACTGATCACTAAGTAGGTTTTAAACATTCCTTATCTCTAGTGTAAATGATCTTTCTAGGCTATGAACATGTCAGCTATGAAGATAATGTAGATTAATATAGAGTATGGCAAATATAACCGATCATCACCGTCCTTATCCTTGTTAGAACTGGGGAATCAATTCCGACAAACAGAATAGTTAACACATAGACCAACCATATGCAATAATTTATCATTTTAACTGTGAATGAGAAAAGTGTAGCTGATTCTCCACTATCATCTCTTTCATACTGCATGTAATCTCATTTAAATAAAATTCTGACATGTTTTCTTTCCTCTCCATGCTGCTAACATATTAATTAGAGTTTTGCACCTGGTGCCTTGCATGGGCCTATGAGAATATAACTGTTGATTGATTCTTCTCTCTCCTTTCTTCTCGCCTCATTTGCTTTTTAAAAAATATATTTTGATTTATAAAAGAAAATAAGGACATAGAAATATTAAGGGATTCTGTCTCCCCTTTCCTACCTTGTTCAGCATTCTGGTTTTTGACTGGTTAGTAAATTTGTAATTACTAATTTTCTAACCAAACATTTTAAAATACTATTATTTCTGTTAATCAGCTTTCTTATCTGTTTCAAAGAAAACAAGCAAACCCCACACAGATCTAATGTGAATACATGCAGCATATTTATACTCACATTTGCAGCTTTGCACTTGGTTTTGGCCACAACAGTTCACAGCTCACAGCCGTGAATTGTAGAAGCTGTTCTTTATTTTAAAAAGCAGCCTAGGGATTCAGTGTTCAGGGATACTACAGGGAAAAGCAATCCCAAACACGCACATAATAATATAGTACAGTGTGAACTCAATACAAGACGAATTATGGTGTTATCCTGTTTTCAAATGACAGTCACTCAGTTCAGGCTAAGTTTGCTATTAGATTCCTTTTGCTGGCAAAACAAAAAACACACCAAAATAGTATATGTGCATGACTTAATGTAACTTTTTTGTGATTTTATAAAATACTGATATAATTGTTAGTCTTGTTGTTTATATTAGCATAAATATAAAAATGAATAAAGTTGAAGATTTGGTACAAATATCAAGCAGTTAACTTTGTTCTCAACATTGGTTTAACAGAATGCCCACAAAACAGAAAATAAAGTGTTTCCAGTGGATTCAATGAAAAGTCCAAAATTCTCCTCTTTCTTTCTAACCTGACATGCTATAACAGAGACAGAAATTTGTCTCAGTATCAAATCACAAGTATAAATAACTTCCAAAACATAACGCAAAATAATTTTTCAGTATGTAAATTTTAGATCTACATTCGCCTCTTCATACTACATTTAGAACCCTCAAATGAACATGAACTGAACAAAAGAGAACTCAGAATAAATAATACAGGATGAAAACACAATCTTGATGTTTATTTTTACATGAATTCACAGAATCACGCAAACACCTGATAATGAACCCTAATTCTAACATGGAAATTCAGAATTAGGCTTCTAAATTATGGTGTGTTCTAAATATTTTGATCTACAAATCATATCAGAGATTGGAGGATATTCGTTATAGAGTAATTAAGTTCTATTAAGGTGATAGCAGCTCCAAGGCCCTTCTAAAGTACCTTTATTTTATTTTGGCACATATGGAAAATAGTGGGAAGAAAAGGAAGGGAAAATCCTTATACAGTCATCCTCAGTTTACAACCATAATGGCCCCCATTACAGTCATCAGTCATGAAAATTATAAAGTGGGTCACCATGTGACCATACCTGTTTTTACCTTTTTTGAGGCAGTCATAAAGTGACTACCATAGTTGTAAAACAAATGCTAGTGTCATAAAGTGAACCCATTGTTCGCTATGGGTCATTTTTGGCAAAAACCCATTGTTTGCTATGGGTCATTTTTGGCAAAAGCCATTAGGGCAAAAATATTGTAAAGCATGGTCAGGATGCTGCAAACAGCCATAAAGGCAGGACAGTAGCTAAGCGCGTGACATGGGATCACATGACCATGGAGACAGGTGACTATTGAAACTTCAGAACCAGGTTGTAAATACCTTTATGGGGCACTGTTATAGCTTCAACCGACTGCTGAGCAATCAATCACAAGTTAAGAACTATCTGTACGCATATTTACTTAATAATAGATGCACTTATTAAAATATCAGGCAGCCAGTAAGGAAGCATAAATAATCAGCATTCCACATTATTCCTGAAAGAATCCCTGTGTAATTTGGGTAAACGCATGCCAAAATCTGGATAAACTCATGCTATGCTGGAAAGTATACTAATAGGGTCACACAATAAGTGCTTTTAGGCAAAGTCTAAAAGGTCTTTAATTCAAATAACTACAGAGGAACATGACAGCATAAATAGAAGATGAGGAGCAAAAAAATACCATTCTACAAACACATCTTACTACATTAATGAGTTTTTTAAAAAATATTACATTGTAGAAATAAATAACGTTATAAAGTACTTACAAATATCTCTGGTTAATCAGCTAAAATCTACAAATGTTATATTTAATCATTACATGGATTAAAAGTAATAATAACAACACTGTTTATTGGGGAAAGACAGGTTTCCAGAAATTGATGCATCTTCAAGTTACCTCAAATAAACCTGAAGATTTTTTTTTTAAAAAACCACACCGTATCGTTAAAAATTACAATTACAATCATGTGCACCTACCTGAACATAAGTACCACTGTATTATTAGGACTTATTCCTGAGTAGACACATATAGGTTTGTATCATGGTGTAGGTATCATACAGAAGTAGTACAATAGAATAACTGAACATCTTAAGGTACCACTATTAGCATCAGGCTCAGTTTCTGTTGCCTGTATAAATGCTTTCCCTCTCCATCTGTCCTTGGCAGGAATTTTGAGCCCTTTCAGAGACATTCCGATTAATCTTTCTGATGTCCTCCATTTACCATCTTCCATTTACCATTGCTATATGGTAGGTTTTTTGCTAATTCTTCATATACTTGCATCACTTCTCCAAAGTATTTAAGTTTCTGTTTGCTAATTGTTGTCTCAAGTATCAGTGCATTTCTCCCAGGATCAGTTCATTGGCTCTTTTTGCAAACCATGCAAAACTTTGTAACCAAATCCTGACAGAATATTCTTTCTCAAATGGAAAAATAATATTTGACCTATTTTAATGTTAGTTGCCATGCAATCATTTTCGCTTGTGAGCTTCTTGCCACTGAATTCCTTCCTAAAATTAATTCCATTACTATTCCACAGAATTCCAAGAAAACTATCACCTTCTCTTCATCATAAACTGTAAAATAATTAAGGATGGATGCTTGCCTTTGGTTTAATATTTAATGCATATTGTATAATTTTCATTGAACAGATGCAGAATCAAGCATATTTAAGGCTAAGCAAAAAAACCACCCCTTTTTCTAGAAAAAAACTCATTTCAAGTTTACTATTCATATCCACATCTGAAGTACTGGAATTTATTCTGATTGGTTCCGATTCCAATTATCTGGGGGTCAATTTTTTGATGCATCAATAATCCCATTAGTAACCATTACTAAAAAAAAAAAATCTCAGCAAGCCACATGCAGACTTCTGTGTAATGCTGTTATACAGTTGTTTTTTGAATCAATGGTAACATTCTTTGCAAATTCACAGCAACAGAATATTAAAATCCTGAACAAACACGTTTCAGTAGTTTCCTAGATGAACAGCTACGACAGTATTTGCAGCAAATACGACCAAAAAAGCTAAGAAAGTTAAGGAGCCTCAAGCCTCCTTGCTATATTTTCAAAATACAGAGCTTGTTATAAACCTGCTCATGTTAACCGAATTAACATGCTCCTTGTAGCTTTTCGTTTTATTTCGCAAATAACAAATCATCGTAAAAAAAAAAAATCTGCCATGCGCAGTTTAGTCAGAATTGTATATTTATAAATTCAACTAAACGACGAGCAACCGCTAACAAATCACCAACTTCAGCTTAATAGGAGCTGAAGTTGGAGCTCAACCTCTCGCCTCAAAACAGCTGCTTTGTATTCTCCCACGTGACTTCTCCGATCAAATCAAAAATGCCGGCTCAGAGCGCGCGATGACATCATTGTTATTGAAAGAGAGAGAGAGAGAGAGAGAGAGAGAGGCGGAGTCTCGAGACCAGCATATTACAACCTTAAGGACGCCATGGGGAACGAACGTCTCTAATTTCTACCATAGAGTTATCGAGGGCTAGCACGGACCATAGCTACTACCGGCGCTTTCCGGCCGTTATCGGATGTTGAATGGCTATGTTTCCCTTTCCCGCGTCTTTTCTCCGAGAGCATGCTGGGAAACGTTATTAAAGAAACACGTCTTCCGTTTCATTGGTCTTTCCTGTGCCGCGCTCGACGGAGATGGGAAGTCTCGCCAGGGGCTGTTAGGGGGAAAGCAAGTAAGCAGCGTCGGTTGGTTTTATTTAATTCTAAAAAAAAATAAAAATGGGTGGTATTACGTTATGCACGGAAAGCTAAAACACCACCTTAGGACTATCAAGTCATACCTATGGTAGGGTGGAAAATATATTATTTTTAAAAAAATATTTAAATGAGGTCAATTACAAATTAAATTTTGCGCTTCTGCAGAAAAAGAAATAGCGATGACCAAAATATTGGGTTTTCAGGACGATTTCCAAGATTCAGTCTAAACCTGTAGACTCGGGGCAGCGTAGTGTTGCACACAAACTTTTTATATCCTTTTTTTCCCCAAACGTAAACATGTACAATATTCCTGCATTTCTACTGCTTTGACAAAAGCTAGTGTATATTAATTTTTGGTCAGTTTCTTTTGAACGCTGCAAATAATAATACAGTCATAATATGTACCATAAATACGGATGGAATTAATCTTACTATGCTGATCAGCAAGAAATAATTTGTGACCGAGACTAGAGTCACATCTAGATGCCATCAGTCGTCATGGTGTGCTATAGTCCTCGAAGAATAACGACTGACCTTTATTCACTGACTCTGTGATTCATTAGCAGACTCAGCTGCCAGGTTGGTAACATGGTATGAATTACAACAAACTTTCACTGTATTGCTGGAGATAGGAGATAGCTTGTGATGGACATGGTAGTTCTGATGAAAGTAGCATACAATTAACATTTAAAAACAAAATAGAGAGCAAAAGGGACAGACCTATTTTGCTTTCTAAAAGAAACAAATTCTTCAAAAAGGGAATAAAAGACTAGAACTACTAGTATTTAGTACTAGTACTAAATACTAGTACTAGTAATAACATAACTATTATGCTATTTGTAAATAAATTATAAAAAGTAATTGCTTGGTAGTGAGATAACTCAATTATGTTCCAAAATGGGTTTGACTCATACCTGAAATTGTGCCCCAAAACATGGATAATTAGTTGATTATTGTATTCTATGAGCTATTATAATTTTTTCAGATGTTTTCAGATGGGCATTGATTTTTAATTTTCCCCTTTCATATATTTTTAAACTTACTGTAGTTAGCAAATTTTAAAATTCTCTATCAAGTCAGTCAGGATTTGCCTAATGCTATGTTTGTGTAGAATTCTCTATAGGATTACAGAATCTAGATTGTCCAATGTATTTCTGTAGATATTAACATATCAGGTTTTGTTAGATTTGTTACATTGTTTGGCAAACAGTAAGTTAAATCTTTTCTTTCCATGGAGCTAGAGTTGCATTGCGATATATTTAGCTGTGCTATGATTCCTGTAGGAAGACTACTAATCTTAATTCATTGCTTATACACACCTTTTGGTCCCTCTGCACAGCAGCCGTCAACATCCCCAGGGTTGGGGCTGAAGTAAGAGGCTGAGAGCCTTCAGCAGGCTCATCCAGCCTCAGCGCCACCACTGCCACTGAGAAATGCCACCCAATTCCCCACACTCCAGCCAACCATGCTAGCATCATTGTGCAAAGCCCCAGTTGCCCCGCCACTATGTTCTGGATTCCTAGCTTTACCTTTCCATTAACCCAACCATTTTTCTCCCGCCTGTTCATGAGGCCCTATTTGGAGAGAGTAGTCCATGTGGCTTGAGAAAAGCAGCCCCAGGAAGAAGGCCCGGTGTAGCTGGTAAAAGATAAGGTTTACTGTTTTGGTAATTGAAGAGAGGCTGCTGCATTGCTATAGACTAATAGACACAACAAGCCTGATTATAGATTCAATACTGACTTTTGATATATTTTTTTCAGGGTTACTACAGAATTGGTGGAAAGAAGAAGGTGCTTTAATAATTGATTACAGAATTCATCTGCAGCTGACAAAGTGATGTTTATATTTCAATAAAAATATATAAAAACCGAAGCCAATTGATTTCTGCTTAATTATTTGGGCATCAGATTTTGAGGGGTGAAACTCTAGAAGAAAAGCAAATTTTTAAATTAGATGTATGGGTTGAAAGTAAGTTACCTACTGAACATGAAAATAGCCCTGCAGTCAGATCAAATCTTTCTCAGTTCACCATTTTCTCATGGCCAACCATTTGCCTCTAGGGTGGTTACAAGCATTTGGTGATACCCCCTTTTCCGCAATGGTTCCCCTGAAATTAGTATTTGGAAGTGTGCTACCTTCAAGAGTCTGTGTCTTCCAGACTAATAGCCATTGCTTTTCATGAATGAACTCCGCTCTCTTACAGACTCGGGATAGTCTTGTAATAATGAATTTCCCAAGTTAGGGCACAGCAAGAACTGCTTTGGTCTGTCCAAAAACTCCAAATACTAGACATTTCAGTGTGAATGCCCTGCCTTTATTCCAACAGATTTTAACATACTAGCATTTTCCTCAACAAAGATGTTCTACCTGCTTGACAAGTGCTTTAGTTAAGGAAATCTGCAGATATAGGATGGGGGTTACTTGGCTTGGCAATAGTATCTGCAAAAGGATCATAAAAGTAATGTTACAGTGCAACTGCAAAAAGGCAGCTTTTTTTCCTTCCATCAATAGAATTATAATTTTAAAATTATAGAAAATTGCCCTTTGTATTCTGTACTGGTCTGCTTGTCACCTGTAATATTCTTACATTCTGGGCACATCACACTGGGTCCATATCCCTAATTACCTAGTTGTATTTTTCTAATGGTCTCTCAACAGACACCAACTGGCCCAAATCATTTTTTTGGAATAGTATGCAACACCTTTGGCCAGAAAGTGCTAGTGTCTCACACATCGTTTTTTTTCCCCTTAATCTGATAGATTACACTGCATTTATATTTTCTTACAAAACTTGTTATAACAAATTCCTATTCCTTCCAATCTTAGTAATTTTTATTTTCCCATCTTAGTCTACAATCTATTACTATAAATTTAAAAGTATGTTCTACACCAAATTCCTGTTTGTAGTCCCATCTTAACTTTTTCAGCCTTGCCTTTTCTTCCCACCGCCAAGTCTTCAGTTCTTGCCCATTCTGTCCATTTGAACGTGAAAATGCTTTTTTGCTCTTCTGGATTGGTGAATAGATTTTTTCTCCCCCACCCATTTCTGGAACAAATCTGAATTCTGCTTCTGAGCTGCTGCACACTAGACTTGCAGGCCAAGACTTGCTCTTCCCACTCACAGCTCCCTCAGCTAGCCTTGTAGTTTTCTTTTGCCGTAGAGACTGCTGCCGAGATGTTGCCTTTGTGTTTTCCCACTTCTGTCAACTCCTAAACTTGACTCCTTTCTTGCTTTCTGTCCCATTTTATGAGACATATCTAATTAAGGAAGGTGGTATCATTTTAACCCTCCTTCCCATGCACCATCAAAATCCGATCTCAGGAGAGAAATGCCTGAGTGAAGTTTTCATTCTTGCACACATCACTAGGTTCTTCCCCAATAACTAGGCAGATAGAGGTGGCTACAGCTGGACCATTGTCAAGACATTTGATGTGCCTTAGCTGTATTCATAGTTATTTCAGTTTCTCCAAGGGGTAGATGTAATCCTACCCAACACAGACAACATAGGGTTTAAAATAAGTTGGGGTGTCTCCTACTGCCGCAAAATGTTTATATAATATTTAGAAGAAAATAGCAATGGATAATTGGAAGTGGAACAAAATCCCATGTTAAAGGATTGTGGGAATTATTTTTATTGAGAAGATTGTTGTGATGCAAATACAACATTTAAATTCTAGGGACAATATATAAATGACTGGCCAATTTTCTATTACCCCACAATGCAAGATAATTAACATGGAATATTCTGCCTTAAGCACTGGAAAAAACACCCTAATTATAGTTTTGATAGTGGAATCAATTAACTAGGGAAGATGTGGTTTCCTAGTTCCTCAATAACTCAAATCTGGAAACTGGATTGGTGGCCTAAATGTTATCTTCCAGTTCTACAATTCCTCTCAAAATCAACTTTCTAGTATTGAATATAATTGCGAGAATATTCTGATGAAAAATCATTCCAACATTTGAAATAGTTTATTCATGCCTGTGATTTGAGTTTGCGTACATATAGAAACATTTATGCCACTAGAACACAGGCTCCTCCAACTTCCTTGATTTTCTCTTCTGCTCTTCGGCTGAAGAATTTTGCTTTCACAATGACAGGCTGCTTGGGCAGCTTTCCTTTGCCCAGGACTTTGTAATACCCCTGGAAAATATCAAAACACAAGCTTTTAGTTAACATGTAGTTTCTTGGAGTCATTACTCATAGCGTCAATAAAATCGACAGGTTTTTTTAAATATTGTATATAAATTCTCATAATTGACGCCTTTATGGATTTAATGGGAGGGGGAAGCACTGATCAGCAGTCCTCTTTAGCTTGTGTATACAATTTACTGGAAGGCTGGCAATCCAAGACCAAAGCACTACATGACAGGGTAAGCTCCCACCTTGCCCCAGCTCCTGTCCACCTATCAGTTAGAAAGCAAACAAATGCAAGTAGATAAATAGGTGCCACTTTGGTGGGAAGTTAACAGCATTCTGTAAATCTCGGCGTATAGTCATGGACCATGGAAGAGTCTTTGATAATGCTGGTTCCCTCAGCTAGATGAACACTGCCCCCTAGAGTTGCAGACGGCTTGACAAGGGAAACCTTTATCTTTTATAGCATAATTCTATTTGAGTAAGAGCATACTGTCATTTTACTCAGTTTCATTTTAGTTTAACATGACTATTATAGTCCCAAGTTTGTATTCTCTCATTAAAATCTTGAAAGATGATATTTTAATTTGTAAAATCATATAACTGAGATGTTTGGATCTGGATGGACTTCACCTTAATCAAAACTGAATAGCTATGACTGTTTGTCCCCCACCCCACGGGTTGGGGATGTTTTCATCACTGACATCACTGGTATTGGATAAGGTTACTCTTCTCCATTTTAGACTGATGCACAACTTGGGCGGGCCTCTTGGATTCACAGGTATTGCTTCATGGCAGCTATGGCCAGAAGACCCTTTACATTAGCCTATCTTGTGCACTGGATGTACCGTTCCCTTTTGAATTGTATATTTTAATGTAAGTTGCTCATGTACTGGAATAGGCAAACATAATAGGAATTTTCAAAAAACAGATGACCTCACTTACAGAGCGTACAACATCAATAACTGGAGCTAGTCCTGCTGGATTTTTCGCATAATTCAGCCTTGTTTGCTCACTAACAAGCGTCCAGAGCTTATCCAGATTCACTGTCGGGCAGAAGTGTTGGTTCTTTTTCAAGTGGTAATGTCTCATACCAACCTTTCCAAAATAACCAGGGTGGCTAGGGGAAAAAAATTACATGCAAAGTAAATTTACTGGCCAATGCATTATGATACTCACTGGTAACCTTAACTAGAAAATACAAAAGACATCCATCCATCATCTAATTTATTGGCCACCCGTCTTACCACAGGGTATTCTACAACATACTTTATAGAAGGAATGCCTTTTGTCTTCAGTTCATGACTTAATGTCATAATAAATCAGAAGATTTATTGAAGAACTTAGTTCAACACATAAAATCTAATTATATTAATATGGTTATTACAAACTCATTTCCTGTACTCAATGCTATTCCCCTCCATCTACTATGCCTAGATGCCATTTCTATTTCCGAGCAGAAATACCAGGATCCATCAATGGCAAGGTATAAAAATGTTGCTGTAACAGGGAAGAACAATGGCTAGTTACATCATTTCATTTTAGAAAACATGTAATTTCTTAACCATTTAGAGCCTTCTGTTACTAACCTGGTGGCTGACTGTGTTGGGAAAGAGACAGTCAGTGAATAAAGGTCAGTTGTTACTCTCTGAGTACAATAGCACACCATGATCACTGGCAGTACCAAGATGTGACTCTAGTCTCAGCTATTTGTAAGTTACTTCTGACAATGAATTATAAATGACAACTGCAATCCTAAACATTGTATTAAAAGAGTTTCCCCCAATTTTTAGATGTGTTGAACTGGGCAATTTCCATCACCTATCCAGAAAACTCAAATAGTGGGTAAGTATCAGAGGACTGTATACAGCTTTGTTTCAGGTAGGTAACAAAATGTATCCAGGATATGAAAGCTGATCTTGGTTCATAACGTAGATCTGCTCTTTTTATTACACAAAACTAAAATACAAAAGGCAGTTGTGAGATAAAAAGGAAAAGTAGCTTACTATTTGTCAAAGTTAATTCTGTGGTGGTGCATACCGCCAGCATTTCCACGGCCTCCTGGATGCTTCCTGTGTTTGCCTATGATAAACAACAAAAGCCATTAATTGGAATTTAATCTAGAAAAGTTATTCCGTCTCAAATACTACTTAATGTGTTAATTTTAGCCTTTTTCAAATGCAGGAGTGTTCAACTTTGGCAATTTTTAAGACTTCCCATGCTGGCTGGGGATTTCTGGAAGTTGGAAGTCTGCAAGTCTTAAAAGTTGCCAAGGTTGGACACACATTTGTTTTAATGTAATAATTATCCTTTAAGTTTCATTCTAATAAATCATGTAGATACTTTGAATCTGCACAGATAACAAAGCAATCACTGTCACAGATGTTGAAGACTTGGAATATCTAGACAGAACTGTTTTTGTGTCTTGCCTTTGAGACTGATTATTAACCCTTCTTCAGGGAAGATAGTACAAACACCAGATATGTCACATGAAGATGTTATGCAAGCCAATCAACATCAATAGTCAAATTCAACATAAATCTTGGCAGCCAAAGATGGAAGCTTATGGCCTTTTGGAAGTTAGTGTTGTCAGTATAGATAATGCTTATTTCTGATTCAACAGCATCTAGAACATGAAATTTCTCTATTCTGACATAGATGATGTTGCCATCTTCACTAAGAGAAGCTTAACTGCAAATTATTCCTTGCTTTTTGGTAACCTCTGTTCTAATC